TTGGGGTAGGAAGGCCCTACCGCTGGATTGATCCTCCGCCACTGGGCACTGTACCTTGGGGACACTCACTGCCCAACCACCCAAGACAGGACAATGGGCAGGTTAAAAGAAAAAGAGAGAATGTCTCTCCATGGTGGAGACCTTGCTGGGCAGAGCCTGGCCTGAAGAGCAGTCTGCCTGTCCTGTTCCTGGGCCTGCCCTGGCTGTCTCTCCAGGGCTGGCCAGGGGTAGCCTTGGGCTCACTCCCAGGACACACTGTCCCCAGCCACTGCATAATCCCCGTGCCCAGACTGCTGACTGTGTTCACAGGGGCCTCAGCGGAGGCAAGAAACGAAGGGTGGGAGGTGACCAGCAGGCTGTAAAAGGGGAGTCCTGCTGGTTTGTGGCTGTCCAGGGTCCCTGCACTTTCTAGCAGCCTAGGGGCAGGGGGCAGCTGCGGAGGCTGCACGGTAAGGTCGTGGGTCTGGTGGGACTGGTCTGGTGGTTTCCCCCATGAACCGTTGGACCGGCAGCTTGCGCCTCGGCCTCCACTTACCCCACGTACCAAAGGCTACTCCAGCGGGCTTGAGGCGGGCACCTGCAGGGACGCGGCACCTGGAGCAGGCGAGGCACCAGCCCGGCCGACCTCGTCGCCCAAGCCTCTCCACCAGGAGGGTCAAGATCCCAGATACTTATCCCTCTACCCCCCAACTTACTGGTCCGAGGGGTCGCAGCCGTCCGCGAAGCCCAGCGCCACCTGTGGGGACAGGGGTGAATCTGGACGGGGCGTGGCCAAGCTCAGACCCGCCCCTCGGGGGGCCCCAACCGAGCGTGCGGCCCGACCCACCTGCGGCAGGAGCGGCGGTAGTACCAGCAACAGAAGCGCGCGGGTGGCCGGCGCCCCCCGGGCCATGCTCAGCGCGGAAAGCGGAGAAGGAGGCTCCCGCCCACCCGAGGCCCTGCCTTTGGAAAACTTTCCCCATTGTAAGCCCCGCCCAGTAGCGGCTTTGCCCTAGGTGCCCCGCCCGGCGACCTCGGCCCGGGGTTTGGCACCACGTCTCTCTGCAGCTCACCTGAAAGCTGTGGCTGAGGGCTGCGTAGGGTGTGGCTTCACACAACAAATGGGCTCACACCTCGCATCACACCTCCAGCGCACTTCTCAAGGCAAACTGGACGCTTATACCAACACTTAGACACTGGGGTGTTCGAGGACATTCAGTATCTAGGCTTCAGGCACTGTCCCAGGGGGCTGCTCACTCAGGCTGGATCTGCCCGTGGCTCCAGGCCATTGAAGTACTGGTGCAGCCCACTTTCCAAAAGCACTGCACCTTGAAGGTCATGCTCAGCCTGGGGAGTGTGGCCTCCCATCGAAGGGCCACAGTGAAACTAACATCTTTCCCTTGGCCTGGGATGCCTGCCGCTCATTCTGCTGGGGAAAGCTGGGGTCATTTCTTCCAGGAGGACCCCTGACTCTTACTCTCTTCCCATCAGGCTAGGCCCGCGATAGGGACCAGCCACACAGCCTCTGGTGATCAGGCTAGGAGGTGGTCAGCGCAGGAAGGGGCGGGGAGGGACATCCACCCTTCCCCTGCATACAGAGGAGTCTCAGCCTGCGGCCTTCACTAGAAGGAAAGTGATCCCACTCCCTTGAGGGCAGGGCCTCCTCCGCTTGGCTCTTCTGCCAACACCTGCTCCTTCTTCTCACTGCTTCCTCCCCTGCCCCTACTCTGTCTGAAACCATCCTGCACCCTGGTCCCCAAGCGCCCTCCATGCCTGTGAAGCTCCAGTGAGGCTGCAGGTCTCAGACATCCTTCCTCCTCCCTCTTGCCTTGCCTGTGTTTGGACTACAAGGGCCTGCAGTGGGATGGGAGGACAGAAGACACAAGTTCAGCGTCTACAAGGGCCAGCACAGGGATGGGAGGACAGAAGACACAAGTTCAGCTTGAGGCCTAGGGCCAGAGCTTCGAGTTCAGCCAGTCCCTCATACAGGACCTGGACAGGGCTCAGTCACTGAGTACCAGTAGCCTGCCAGTGGAGGAGCTAGGCCAGAATTTAGGAGAGAGTGGCCTGCTCAGGTGACAATGTCTTCTAGGGAGTTCCTCCTCCTTCTTTTATTTTTAAAAAATAATTTTTTTTATTTCACTTTATTTATTAACTTATTTTAATTTGACCAGAGAGGGACAGAGAGAGAGAAAGTGAGAAAGCAAGCTGCCAGATGTGGGACTCAAACTGCGGTTAGCCATGTGGGAGTCCAGCATCCTTAACCACCAGGGCACCTGCTGGCCCCAGGAGTTTCACCCTCTTGAGGCCTGGGTCTTCCCTTCCCACCTGCAGAGGAAGCAAACTTAGGCCATGGCTGGTCGACCCCAGTGGAGGCAGCAAGGGACCTGGACCTGCCATCTTCAAAGCCCACTGGACAGAAGCCCTGCAAAATGCTACTCTAACTTAGGGGAAATGACAGATTTCCAGGCACCCAAGGCACTGGGGGCTGGGGTGAGAGGAGGAAGCTCAATACTGGTGTCCCTGAGGCCTATGCCCAGGAAAGTACACAGATGCACCACCTCTGCACTCCTTCTGCGCTAGGGAGGGCTCTCCTGGTAACTGGCCCCAGGCTGTGGCAGGGTGTGTGTGCGTGCTATGCTGTGACAGAGGGCCAGGCTGGCTGTGCTCTGTGGGGATAGCGTCCAACAAGCCACACTCCCAAGGGCAGAAGCAGGTGGAAGGGTGGGTGGGGGCACCAGAACCAGTCTGAGTTCACAGGAGCAACTCATGGACTGGGAGGGGTCTTCAGTCAGGGCCCAGAATGCTGAGCCCACACTTATCTCAGACAAGTGGAAGCCCCAAACCAGGAGCTAGGCCTCACCCTGGACCCCAGTCGGGCTCTGAGGGGAGGGTATAGTGAGATGGGTGCCAAACCTTTGTTTACACCTGCCTGGGGTCATCAGGAGTCCTGGAACTTTGGAGGGACTGGAGCCCCCTGTGGCTCTCCCTCTTACCTGGGCCTCTGAGTCTGGGTCAGTCTCAGCTCTGGCCTGGTACCCCTAGCACCTTGAGTTGCCTGCACCACCCAGTGTTCCAGGCTTTGGGCCAGAATGGACTCCCCATAGGTCTCTGGTGAGACTACCACACTCGTTGGGAGGCCCTTGCCAGGCAGTTTGTTGTTTCATGGATTGGTGGACGTGTGTGCAGAGGGGGAGGCTCCCCCAAGGCTCTGTCTCCACTTCTCACGCTGTCCTTGCCCTGGTGAATAACTTGCAGCCATCTACTGCGGGCTTGGAGTTTGACAGGGCTGCGGGGGAGGTTCTCTGCAGGACTTCTAAAGGCTGAGCAGGTGCTAGGGTCGGGGGCTCTGAGGCGCTCAGGCGATGTGCAGGCAGTGGGCTGGGATGCTTGCTACTCATTCTGCTGGGGAAGGCTAGTTAGCTTTATTGCCGGTTTTGAGAGTGGGATTCAGGAGGGGAGTTGCCCTTGCACCCTGGGCTTGCTGACTCCAGGGTAGTAGGAAGTGGCTGTGGGTGAGAGGCTATCCACTTGGACCTGCCCTGCAGGAGATGCCCAGGTCCCAGGCCTGGGTTTGGCCTGCCTCACAGTCTGTGGGGGCTCTGTGGAGAGGCTCTTATGGCCTCAGGAGCTGGTCACCACCTGGGCTACAAAGATGACTTTGTAGGTCTCCTTTACATCCCCCCTGAGCTGCAGCAGGGCTGACACCATGAGTGGGTGGTCCGGCTGGAACGAGAGGGGCGAGCAGAGAGGGGGCTATCAGTCCATGGGTACCCCAGGCAGATGCCTCATCTTTTCTGCTGCACTGCCTCCCTCACTCCCACAGGGCCCTCCACTGTCACCCTCTTTCCGGAGTAGGACCCGCCTCTGTCATCCCCAGGCCCTCTGGTCTGCAGCCTGCAGGCACCTACGTCAAAGTCAGAGGGTGGCAGCCAGGAGATGCTGATGGTTTTGGTCTGGCCGCGCTCCACAAAGCCCTTGGACGGCTCGATGGAGAAGCCCTTGTGCTGCAGAGATGTGATGCTGTCCAGGCTGAACTCGACAGTCTGGAGGATATTATGGCTGCTGGGGGCTGGTGGCTCAGGCACAGCTCCCAGGAGGCAGAGGGACTGGGGGTGTGGATGAAGGTGCCCAGCTCCATCTGCCCTCTCAGCTCTGACCAGTGGGCCGCCCACCCTATACTTGTCACAGAAGTCCTGAGGAAGCCCAGGGTGGGCAAGGTCAGGAGGGGCAGGGCTGCACAGGGGATCTGAAGAGACTGTCAGGGTGGTTCAGGGAAATGCTGTGGTCACCTTCTTTGGAGACAGCTGGGTGGTCCGGATACAGCCCACCTGTAGCTCTCGGGTGGCGGGTGGGGATGGGGTGTCCTTGTCAAACTGGACATATTCCAGGGTCACCAGGATAGGTTTCAGCTCCTCGGCTTCTGGAAAGGGAGGGCCGACTAGGAATTAGCAGTGGAGCCATGTGGCAGAGGAGTGAGGGGAACTGCCCAGGTTCAGGGTGGGGAAAGAGGGTGCAGGGGGTGGTAGAGCTGGAATCCTCCTGAAAACTCTGGTTAGCAATGGTTGTCCCAGCTGGCTCTGGAGGGGAAGGGTGGGAAATGCTTGCCCTTGTCCCCTGGGTCTGGGTGCATCCACTTGTGGACTAAGGGTTCTGTCCTCAAACTGCTCCCTGTCACTCCCTTGCTGGGGGCTCCCACCTCCCTGGTCAGGGATGGGAGGGTCACCCTCTCTGTGCTCCGGGTCCAACACAGGGATCGTGGTCAGAGACTCCACAGGCACGTCCAGGGGGTCTCCGCCTTCCACAAACATCATGTGCTCCCGGGCTGCGCCCTTCAGGAGGATCTGCTGGGAGAGTTTCTGGGGGCAAGAAGCACACAGTACCCTTGTCCCCAAGGTTCCGCAGATGCTGGTCTCTTCACCTGAGGACCCCCCTCCCTCGCCCCCACAACATGGCACAGCATCCCCCAGGCAGTGCCCACAGGATAGCCTTGTACTGGCCGCCTCCAAAGTGGGTAGTGCAGGGAAGGGGAAGTGGGTGGGATCCAGACGGCCCGGGGCCAGAGGGCCAGGCTGCACCTTTTTGAAGAGCACCACCCTGAGCTGGTCAGAGTAGTACAGGCTCTCGTGGTCCGGGCTGAAAGTCACGGTGAAGTCTTGCACCTTTCCAGGGTCCATAACACCTTCCACTGGCACCACACTGAACACGCTCTGGCCGTTGTGGTTCTGAGTACCTGGGGCGGGGCGGTAGGAGTGGCCGACCCACCCTTCAATCTCTTCCCGCCCCACCCATCCTACTGCGGCTGAATCCCTCTTAACTCTCTGGGCTGTGCATGGTTTCCCTCATGACCTCCCTGCCCTGCTCCTCAAGGCCCCACCTTCACCCAGTTATGCCTCCTGCCCCTGCGAACCCGTCAGCTCACCCACAACATCCGTCCTCTGGGCCGGGGAGGCCAGGAACGTTGGCAGCTGCTGCTGGTCCTCGACCCTCTTGCTGGACAAGCTGTCCAGCTGCATGGAGAACTTGATGGGGAGCGAGGAGTTGTTCTGCAGCTGCAGAGAGCAAGTGCCCATCACTGACTAAACCAGCTTGGCCAGCCCGGCAGCAGAGCTTGGCTGCCCTGCCTGCGGTCAGGGCCATGACTTGGTCATCTGACTGAAGACCTCCCAGCCCCAGCTGCCCCTGCCTCCAACAGGGACAACAGGTGCAGTTACGGCAGCTCATCGAGTTGTTGGTAGGTCTGCATCTCAGCCAGCCTCACGTTAGCCTCTGTGTGATGTGTGTGGTGCCGTCCATCTTCCAGAGCCTCTCTGAGGGTAAGCTCAGGCTTGGCTTAGCCGAGCCCACATCTTTTTTTTTTTTTTTTAGAGGTTTTTGCTATAGGGCATGTGCGCTCATCAGACAGACAGAGAGAGAGACAGAGGGACAGAAAGCGAGAAATCACATACACACACACACACACACACACACCCCAGGGGGGATGGGGAATGGGCATGCCGCAATCCCTTCTCCTCCATTCTCCTCTTGGGATCTTGGGCACACACGCACACACGCCCGGCGTGAGTTTTAAGCCACCAGGTCTGGGACACGAACCGCGGTCGACTACGTGGGAGTCCAGTGACATAGCCATTACGCTAACTGCTGGTCCCCAGCCGAGCCCACATCTTTGTCCAGTTCCTTCCCCTCCCTTGGCCCTTCTCCTGAGCATGCCCCTTCACACAATCCCTGTCTCAGCCTCTGCTCCAGGGCCCAACCTATGGCAAGTGGGGAAGCAGGTGTCCTTCTGCAGGCTGCCTGAACCTAAGGCCCATGTGCCCCTCAGACAGAACGGCAGCAAGAGCCAGCCCCGTCCTCATGCACAGGTGTGGGAGCCCATGACACAGCAGGGTTTAGGTGCCACCTCCAGTTCGTAAACCCTCAAGGCTTCAGAGGTGCTAGAGTTGAGCTCCTAAGGAGTGAGTGTTCAAGCAGCACAGAAGGAGAGAGAGGATGGAAGAGAGTTCTGTGCAAAGGTCCCAGGCAGAAGGACGAGGAGGCTGGAGAGGATGAGGTGGGGAGGGATGGGGACACTCTTGGCCTTGTCAGAAACCAAGGTCCTGTGTTCCCCTGCTGGGAGGGCAGCAGGTGTGGCAGCTGCTGGGAACTGGGGTGTAGGAGTGGGAGTGGCCTGTGCCTCTATTAGCTCCAAAACCAGCCGGCACTTGCAAAAGCAGGGCTAACCCCTCCCCGGGTGGAAACCCCTCCTGGTGGGCTGGGGCCGAACTAGGCCCTACAATGTGCCTCACCTTGAAGCTCACGGAGACAGACTCCCTGGCGATCACATAGCCCATGTTGAGGACGTCCCCTTCAATGGAGCACGTGATGGTGGATGCCACGCCAGTGCCCGTGAGGGTGAGCGTGAGCGTGCCTCTCTTGGTGATGATGTCCAGTGATTCTTGAGCCTACAGAGACCAGGTCACTCAGCAAGGAGTGGACACCTGTCTGAGGCATGTGGGGAGGTCTGTCTTGCCAGAGACTGGCTGCCACGTTACGGAGCTGCGAGTTTGGGGCTCCCTTGCCTCCTCTTATTTGTTAGCAAGGGCCCAGGAGGAAAGGCTGCTTGCAGACCTTGGCATGATCTGTGCTGGACCCAAGCACCCGAGCATCTCCCGTGGCTGACGCTGCAGTCCTGCAGTGTGAGGACTCACCAGGGTGCTCTCGCGGGGGGAGAAGGACAGCACCAGGACCTGTGTCTCGCCCGTATGCAGCTGGCTGGAGGGGTTCA